TCAAGTGGTAGAGCGCTCGCCTTGAGCTGAAGAGCTGAGGGACAGCGCCCAAGCCCAGAGTTCAAGCCCCACGACCGACCAAAAAAAAAAAAAAAAAGAAATGTGCTCATTATCTTACTCACGTAATTGTAACCCCTCTGTACAGTATTTTCACAATAAAAATCTATTAAAAATAAAAAAAAATTGTCTCCCTCAGATCCAAACATGGAAACTATTCCAATGGGAAAAGATGTTAACATCACTGAGAGCTTATGATTTTTGTTCTGCTCTTTATTTCATTTGTCACCAGTATAAAAGACCAGCTCTAGCTGGTAAAACAATCTAAATAAGGAGTTTACTATTAGCAGGGAAGAACTACTCTCAATACCCTCTTTTCCCTAACCTGAACACCAGAAGAGATGAGCCTTTAGGGGCTGGGAAGGTGGCTCAGTGGTAGAGCGCTTGCCTTGCATGTCTGAGGCCTTGGGTTCGATTCCTCAGCACCACATAAGCAAAAAGAAAAAAGCTGGAAGTGGCGCTGTGGCTCAAGTGGTAGAGCGCTAGCCTTGAGCTGAAGAGCTGAGGGCAGCGCCCAGGCCCAGAGTTCAGGCCCCTTGAGCGGATCCAAAACAAAAAAAAGAGAGAGGAGCCTTTAAAAATTATGAATTGCTTATCTACAATTATGTTTACCAATCTGTCCCTGAAACAAGACATTCTTTTTTTTTTTTTGGTCCAACATGGGGCTTGAACTCTAGACCTGGGCGCTGTCCCTGAGCTCTCCTGCTCAAAGCTAGCGCTATACCACTTGAGCCACAGTGCCACTTCTGGTTTTCTGGTGGTTAATTGGAGATCAGTCACAGACTTTCCTGTCCAGGCTGGCTTTGAACCACAATCCTCAGATCTCAGCCTCCTTAGTAGCTAGGATTACAGGCATGAGCCACTGGCGCCCGGCTTCCACCTAAGTTTTCGTAAAACTGACAAGAACAAGGTTCTCTGGCAGTGTTGAAAATAGGTATAAAATGAGAATTTCCATGCCTATAATCCTAGCTACTCAGGAAGCTGAGATCTGAGCATCATGGTTCAAAGCCAGCCCAGGCAGGAAAGTTCGTGAGACTTTTATCTCCAATAAACCGCTAGAAAACTGGAAGTGGGGCTGGGAAGGTGGCTCAGTGGTAGAGTGCTTGCCTTGCATGCATGAGGCCTTGGGTTTGATTCCCCAGCACCACATAAGCAAAAAGAAAAAAGCTGGAAGTGGCACTTTGGCTCAAGTGGTAGAGCGCTAGCCTTGAGCTGAAGAGCTGAGGGACAGCGCCCAGGCCCAGAGTTCAGGCCCCACGACCGGACCCAAAAAAAAAAAAAAAAAAAAGAAAACTGGAAGTGTTACTGTAGCTCAAGCGGTAGGGCGCTCGCCTTGAGCTGAAGAGCACAAGGATAGCGCCCAAGCCCAGAGTTCAAACCCCACGACCAACAAAAAAAAAAAAAACTTAGGTGGAGTTCAAATATCTAATACATTGGTTTTAGGATGGCTGAAACACAAACATAACTTGATTTTTTTTTACAAAGCTAGTTTTTTAGCCTTTAACAAATTAGGAGATCATAAACCATAATTTACACTTCCCAATTTTGTAATCCTTCTATTACCACCCAGGTAAGTATTCTTCTCTGATCACAAAACAATTTCTTGTCTTTTCCTGAATCTCAAACATTTTATCCTCTTCAAAAACATATCATGGGGCTGGGAAGGTGGCTCAGTGGTAGAGCGCTTGCCTTGCATGCATGAGGCCCTGGGTTCAATTCCTCAGCACCACATAAGCAAAAAGAAAAAAGCCAGAAGTGGCGCTGTGGCTCAAGTGGTAGAGCGCTAGCCTTGAGCTGAAGAGCTGAGGGACAGCTCCCAGGCCCACAGTTCAGGCTCCCGACAACCGGACTCAAAAACAAACAAACAAACAAACAAAAAAAAACATTATCATTGAAAGGAAAAATTTTATTAAATTCACCAAGCCTGAATTTAAGCGAACATATACACACAAAATGCCAAAACAGTGGGGTGCTGGTTGCTCACACCTGTAATCCTTGCTACTCAGGAGGCTGAGATCTGAGGATCACTATTCAAAGCCAAGCCCAGGCAAGAAAGTCCAGGAAACTCTTATCTCCGATTAACCACCAGAAAACTGGAAGTGGCTCGGTGGCTCAAGTATTAAGAGTGCTAGCCTTGAACTGAAGAGCTAAGGTACAGCGCCCAGGCCCAGAGTTCAAGCCCCACAACAATAAATAAATGGAATGTGGATTAGGGGTAGAGTGCTTGCTTAGCATCCATGAAGCCCTGGGTTTCATTCCTCAGTACCACATAAACAGAAAAACCAGAAATGGCACTGTGACTCAAATGTAGAGCACTAGCCGTGAGCAAAAAGAAGCTCAGGGATAGTGCCCAGACCCTGAGTTCAAGCCCCACAACTGGCCAAAAAAAATAAACAACGCCAAAATGCTTTCAGGTGTATTTATAACCAGAATATTTCTTAACACAACTAATTCCGTATGTATGCACCAAAGAAAGAGGTGAGAAAGAAAAGTTTTTATTTACTTTTAAGACTTTTTTTTCTTTCTTTCTTTTTTTTTTGGTCAGTTGTGGGGCTTGAATTCTGGGCCTGGGCGCTGTCCCTCAGCTTTTCAGCTCAAGGCTAGCACTCTACCACTGAGCCACAATGCCACTTGCAGTTTTCTGGTGGTTTACTGGAGGTAAGTTTCACGAACTTTCCGGGCTGGCTTTGAACCACGATCCTCAGATCTCAGCCTGCTGAGTCGCTAGGATTACAGGCGTGAGCCACCAGCGCCCAGCAAGACACATAAGATTTCACACATAAGACACTGTGAAGTGCACTGAGGCCTAATGTTTGATATTCTATCTAGTGAAAGCAGAAAAACATTTATACACTCTATATTAATTGCTACACCTGAGATCTGCCAGAAAATTAAAACCTGCAAAAATATCAAATAGTAACATCCAAAATAAACATCTGAAATAGATATAAGGATTATCTGGACAAGAAGCAAAGATAGAAAAAGACAAAAGACATGTCAATAAAGGAGAAAGGTACTTACTTCCATGAAACAGAGGCTTAATCCAACTCCAGGTTATAAACATACTGCTTTGTTTTGGTGGTGGTGGTGCTGGTGCTACGGATTGAATCTAGGGCCTTGTACATGATATGCAGAGCTCTAATACTGAGCTACATTCTTAACCCTTGTTTTTGTGTGTTGGCTAGCTTGGGTTTTTGTTTGTTTGTTTTAGAGACAGGTCTTACTATGTAGCTTAAAATGGCCTGCAACTCATGATCATGATCCTCTTGCCTCTTCCTTGGGAGTTCTGGGATTACAGATTTGTATCACCATACCCAGAACAATTAGCCTGATTTCTAACACAGGGACTATCTGACTTGAGAATTGAGAAACTTACTTAAGGAACACATACACATACATACATATACATACACATACACACATACACACACACACACACATTCTTTCTAGGTTGAGGAAAATGGGGAGAAGGTTTTAAGAAGCTACTGTATTAAAAACAAAACTGTCACTTGTACTTTGCCTTGTTTAGGCTTAGAATGAAACATGATTTGTTCTGGCCCACTACTGCTTTTTTATTTTTTGTGCCAGGGACTTCCTAGGTAACTCTGACTAGCCTTTAACCCATGAAGCTCCTGCCCTTCAGGAATCCTGAGTGCTGGGATTATAAACATATGCCACCTCCTCCTCCTCTAATGCTTTTTATAGGAAAGGCAAAAATCACCTCTCCAACAAACTAAAAATAGATGTACATAAATAAAACTGCGGCTTATGAAGAAGGTATCCATGACTATGTATTCTCTCATCTAATCTGGAGAGTTTAAGGCAGAACTCTTCTATTAAGCCAATTCAAAACGGCAAGATCGCAATCCCAGACTTAAGGAAATGTCAAAATCTCAAAGCATCCAACAGCTCCTTTTCACAGTGTAAAGCCAACAGGCACTGTGGATCCCCAGATATTTCTGACAGAAGCTCTAGAACAGTTTCTGACTCACACACACCAACACGCATTTGCCCTCCTACACACAATCTGTTGCTTTTCTTGTGGGCCTTGCTTCAACCCTCCCCTAATCTTCATTAGTTTCCAATTCTGAGCTATCCTGAGCTTCCTATTCTCCAAGTTCCAATTTCTTTAAACGTTCCTTCCAGTTTATTGCTTATTATGTAAGACCCAGCCACAGCAGTCAGAACCTTCCCCACCCCAATCATTCTTTCTTCCTGATACCTAACTCCAAACATCACTGCTCTACCTGCCAGTCAAGGCTCCATTTAATTTCTCACTGCGTTTCAGGAGTCTTTTGGCCTACACTCCCCCCACGTTCCTTAGGCTCGCTTCTCAAACTTGCCTGGCTTTCCAAAGCGGAGCAGGCTAGAGACCCCCGGGGGGGGGGGTCATCAAAGGAGCTGTAAGCTTGTGCGCGCGCTCCCGCTCCCCCGCGCCGCGCGTGGGAGGAGGGGGCCCTGCGAGAAAGAATGACGCAGTTGGGGGGGAGTCTCCGAACGGAAAAACCGCTCCGACAACTCCCACTCCCAATCCTCAAAAGCACCCCAATACCTTCAAGTCCCACGATTTCTTCCACCCAGTTCACGCCACCATCAACTCCTCCTGTACCTGCCTCTCACACCAAGTAGCCCCCTTCTTTCAGTCGAGCCTCCATTGAGTGGCTCTCCCCCCTGGTTTGCCTCCCTCCTCCCCCCCACTTTCGTTCTCCATCCCTCCTCAAGGCAGCGTTTCTGACCGTTCCCCCCTGATCACCGTCTAACCCCGGCCCGCTCAGAAATCCCTGCAGGCTTGAAGAAAGTCTAGCCTTTTTCGAGCTCGTTCCCCGATCATTCCCACAGGTGCGCCCGTCAGGTCCAGCTCTTTCTTCCACCGCGCAGTTCACTCGCCAGCCCGCTGCCAGCCAGCACCACCACCCCTTCCCCCAAGCCCCAAGCAAACTTACCTGAGGTCGAGGAAGACACCCCAGGATCAAAGGCTGGAAACCCGGCCGACGACGGCCCAGAGGAGGCTGTCGCCATCTTGGCAGCCCCCTCCCTCCCTCTCCGCCGGCTCGCTCCCGGTCACTCGGGCTCTTCCTCTTCTCGGAATCAAATGTTCCCCACGTCTCCCCACAGAACCCGCGTCCCGCGGGCCACCCTCCCGCCCCCTCCGGGGCCTCTCCCAGACACGTCGGGCTGGCTCCGAGACCCGCTCAGGGCCGCACCATTCGCCGGGATGTGGGGGGGGGGAGCTCCCGGCGCGCACTCCCTCCGCAACTTGAACCGCTCACCACACGAGCTGTTTTCTCCTTCCAGAACAGTGTTAGGGGTCCCCCTGGCTTCCAGGACCCGGCGTCGGAGTTAAACCTCACCAAAAGGCAGAACGAAGCACCCAGAAGTCCAAGAGAAGAGCCCCCTCCCCCACCTTCCCCGTCAGCTCCAGTTTATTGCCCAACCCCGCCGCTCCGCTCAGAGTGGCTAAGGAAATTCCAGCATTGCGCATGCGCCCGACTTCCTCAGGGGGTTCCTTTCGCTTCACCGGGGGAGGAAAAACGGAGCCAATCCGCAGGCTGCCGTTGGTCACGTGACGCGGGTCGCTCCTCCTGCTAACGAATCCCCGGGTGGTAGACGAGCGCTCCGCGGCCCTCTCCTACGGTGGCTCGGTAGGTCATTTTCGTTGCGGCTCTTTGAAAGAGCCGGTGCCTTCACACCTTGACTTGCCGAGAAAGAACGCCAAACCTAAGAACTGTTGTCAAGGCAGAGACGTTAAGCGATCGAAAACCACAAAATATGACCTGTTACCCAGCACTCTTCCCAGCCCTTTTCCTGTTTCTATTACCTTGTTTACTGTTTAGTTTGACGTGGATGCATATTTTACCTCCGAATGACATTAGATATAGATCCATGTTTGTGTCAAACACAAATGCTAGGCACAGAACAGGGACACAGCAGTACATATTTGATACATGAATCAACAAAAATAAAATAGGCATATCCTTGAAAGAGTTGACAACAGGGATCATGGAAGATCAGACCTTCCCTTCATCCGAAGTCCTTATCACGACTGTCAATTATCTAAGTTCCAAAGTTCATGGGAAAAAATGATAATAAAAAAAAAAGTTCATGGAAATAATAGAAGTCTCGTCTCCCATTCTATTACCTCTGGTGAATTTTAACAACATATCCTGAAGGTTTGTGAACCTTGGTGGGATCTGAAGACCTGTGTCTAAACAAACTAAGATTCTGGAGAGTAAGGACTATGTCTGTTTCATTCTTTTATCTCCAATTCCTCTCGACTTTACACAGAGTAAGTGCTAAATAGTAACTTGTGGAATGAATAAATGAGAATTTTTTAATTCTGTTTTGCAGCCCCCAAAGTGTTCTGGTTACCTTTTATTGAGAATTTTTTTCTGAGTCCTCAAAGGAACATAGGTCCTAAATATCCATAACATTTCCCACCTTAGCTTTCTGCCTTTCCTTCAAGACCTAAAATAATTGTTTCTTTGCTGCCACCTGCTGGACTATTTGGTGCTATTTTGGCACTATTGAGTGCTTTTTTGGGGTGCTGAGGAGACAAATTTCAACCTGTACCCTAATTTTGCAGCAGTAGTAACTATGTGGTATTGAAGAATTTTTTGGTGGTCTATATCTATGTTGCCATTCAGACCGAACAGTACAGAAGCTGGACAGGTATTCCATTTGGTAAATAAATGTGTTGAATACTTATTTCCAGAAATAATTTCCCAAGTTACTTTAAAAATTGGCCTGGTTGGACTGGGAAGGTGGCTTGCTAGTAGAGTGCTTGCCTAGCATGCATGAAGCCCTAGGTTCAATTCCTCAGTACCACATAAACAGATAAAGCCAGAAGTGATGCTATGGCTCAAGTGGTAGAGTGCTAGCCTTGAGCAGAAAATCTCACCAACAGCACCCAGGCCTTGAATTCAATTCCCATGACCAACCAAAAAAAAATTGGCATGGTTAAAGGCAAAAGTGTTTCTAATTTCAAAACTGGGACTAGACTAATAAATCCCTGACTAACTTAAGGCAGTCAAACAGGGGAATCTTCTACCTTGCAACTGATGTGTGAATTTGATGGCAGCTCTCTTAAAAGAAGAAATGTTGGTTTTGTAGCTTTTTGGGAGATCACTATTTCTATCTGTTGTACTAAAAAAAAAAGAGAGAGAGAAAAGATTACTATTACACTTACCACCTCATCTTCAATTTGTTTATATGTTTGTCTCCCTCAGAAGACTGAACTCCAAAGCAAAGATTACATCTCAACCATTTTCACATCAAGCATCTAGACTAGTACTTGGCACTGTCTCCTCAACATGTGAATGAATGGAGGTAAAATTAAAATAGTCGAGTTAGGAGTGGGATGTAGTAATATATGCCTGTAGTCCCAGCTACTCAGGAGGCTAAGGCAGGAGAATCATGTAGTACAGTCCAGCCTAGGCAACAGATAAAATAGCAAAAACTTGTCTGAAAAAATAAGTAAACAAAAAAGGAGTTAGAGATGTTTAAGAAGGTGTCTCCATCTTTTGCTCCTGAATCTTGTCTCTGCCTTCACACCCACTTAATCCCTAGGGTGTCTCGTGAGTCATGTAGATACTCTACCCCAGTAACATTCCTGGCATAGCAGCACTGGGGTGATGTGGCAGGGTGTGGAAGCAGGGGCAGAGCAGGATGTCTTGGCTTGGTGCCCTGAGGAAATAGGAAAGGGAGTTCACCAATACATACTTTGAGAAGGAAGGTAATATAGTTGCATGAAAACAGCGTCATACATTTAGACTTGAGAACACTTAGAGCACTGTTCCAAACTGGGAATATACTGAAATTCTACAGCATTTGCCTCTGATAGTACAATGTCCCAAGTTTGAGCCCCAATTGTTTTTTGTTTTTTTTTTTTTTGTCGGTCATGGGGCTTGAACTCTGGGCCTGTATGTTGTCCCTCAGCTCAAGGAGAGTGCTCTTCCACTTGACCTACAGCGCCACTCGGTTTTCTAGTGGTTTTATTGGAGATAGGAGACTCATGGTCTTTCCTTCCCCGGGCTGGCTTTGAACCACGATCCTCAGATCTCAGCCTCCTGAGTAGCTAGGATTACAGGCGTGAGCCACAAGTGCCCAGCCCCCAGTATTTTTTTTTTTTTTTGGGTCCAGTTGTGGGGCCTGAACTCTGGGCCTGGGTGCTGTCCCTCAGCTCTTCAGCTCAAGGCTAGCGCTCTACCACTTGAGCCACAGCGTCACTTCCAGCTTTTTTCTTATGTGGTGCTGAGGAATCGAACCCAGGGCCTCGAGCATGCAAGGCAAGTGCTCTACCACTGAGCCACCTTCCCAGCCCCCCCCTCCAGTATTTTTTTTTTTTTTTTGTCGGTCATGGGGCTTGAACTCTGGGCCTGGGCGCTGTCCCTCAGCTCTTCAGCTCAAGGCGAGCACTCTACCACTTGAGCTACAGCGCCACTTCCGGTTTTCTGGTGGTTTATTGGAGATAGGAGTCTCAAGGTCTCCCCTGCCCGGGCTGGCTTTGAACCGTGATCCTCAGATCTCAGCCTCCTGAGTAGCTAGGATTACAGGCTTGAGCCACCAGCGCCCGGCTACCCCAGTATTTTTTTTTAAGCAGCCTTCAATAAGTTTTAAAAGGAAATAGTGCTGTGGCTCAAGTGGTAGAGTGCTCACCTTGAACTGAAGAGCTGAAGGACAGCGCCCAAGCCCAGAGTTCAAGCCCCACGACCTACCAAAAAAAAGAAGTTTTAGAATTCAGGTCCTAATGGCTCACACCTGTAATCCTAGCTACTCAGGAGGCTAGAATTTGAGGAGTCAGGTTTGAAAGCCTGGGCAGAAAAGTGCACAGGATTCTTTCTCCAAATAAGCAGGAATAAAAAAGCTGGACTGAAGATGTTGCTCAAGTGGCAGAGTGCCAGCCATGAGTTAAAAAGCCAAGCAAGATCACCAGATCCTGAATCCAAGCCCCAGTTTGGAGGGGGTTGGGGGGGTGGGGAGGGAGAAAAAGTCTTAGAACAGCCCTTAAGGGCAGAATAAGGAGCTAGAGACCACAAAATCCATGCAGAGGCAAAAACAATGTGAGGGACCAGCACTCCAGAGGCAGAGGCTGAAAGATTATACATTTGAGGCTAGCCGGACTATGGAGGCTATGTCTCTCTTTTTTTTCTTTTTTTTTTGGGTCCGGTCATGGGGGCTGAACTCTGGGCCTGGGCGCTGTCCCTCAGCTATTCAGCTCAAGGCTAGCGCTCTACCACTTTGAGCCACCGCGCCACTTCTGGCTTTTTTCTTTTTGCTTATGTGGTACTGAGGAATCGAACCCAGGGCCTCATGCATGCAAGGCAAGCACTCTACCCCTGAGCCACCTTCCCAGCCCCTGGAGGAGGCTATGTCTCAAAAGAACAAGAGCATGAGTACTTAATTCATTAATTCATTTAATTAACATGATTTAGTTCCAGCTATACACTAGGCACTGAAAATTCTTAGTACACAAAGATGAAAATAGAATCCCTGTCCTGGCTGAGGATGTAAGAGCCTTTGCCCTATTTGTGAAGCCTTGAGTTCAATCCCCAGCACTACAAAATAATAAAAATAACAACAATCATAATAATACACTCAGCCATTCCTGGTAGTACATGCCTGTAAAACCAGATGCATAACAAGTTGAAGGGTAGCTTGTTCTACATAAAAACAAAAACAAAAAACTAGTAGATTAATAAGGATGAGACAGACATATTACAATGTCTTACATGAGAATGAAATGTAACTAGTCACTGGTGGCTCACACCTGTAATCCTAGCTACTCAAGAGCCTGAGATCTGACTATAGTTTTTCAAAGCCACCCTGGGCAGGAAAATCCATGAGATTCTTATCTCTAATTAACTACAAAAGGGCTAGGAAGGTGGCTCAGTGGTAGAGTGCTTGCCTTACATGCTTGAGGCCTTGCGTTCAATTCCTCAGCACCACATAAGCAGAAAAAGCTGGAATGGAGCTGTGGCTCAAGTGGTAGAGCGCTCACCTTGAGGTAAAAAGCTGAGGGACAGTACCTAGGCCTAGGGGTCAGGCCCCATGACCAACAACAACAAAAACACCAAAAACAATTAACTACAAAAGAGCCAGAAATGGTAGTATAGTTCAAAGTGGTAGAGCACTATCCTTGAGTACAAAAGCTCAGGTATAGAGCCCAGGCCCTGAGTTCAAGGCCCAGGACTGGCAAAAAAAAAAAAGTGATATGTAACATCACAGAGTGTATATAACTCTATAGTTTGATAACCATAGATCCAGAATTAAAAATGGGAATAGAAGTTAACATAGTCTTAGCCTAGACTATGCTCAAGCTTGCAGTCCTAGCTACTTGGTAGGCTGAGGTCTAAGGATCTCAGTTTGAAGGCAACTTAAGCAGAAAAGTCCATGAGACTCATCTTCAATTAACCACCAGAAACCAGAAGTGACACTGTGGCTCAGAATGATAGAGCACTAGTCTTGAGTGGAAAAAAAAAAAAACAAAAAACAACACCTTAGGGACAGTGTCTGGCCCTGAGTTCAAGCCTCATGACCCCATCCCCTCCAAAAAAAAAAAAAGCAAGCAAGAAGTTAGCAGTCTTGACAGTACCATAGACTATTTGAGATTGGAACTATTCTAGAGAAATCTAGGACACATGATTTCAGGAAGATTTCACTGTCCTGTAAAAGTAGAGTTTTGACAGATAGAAAAGAAAAGAGTTCTAAGAAGGAAAAAGCTGGTGGCATGACAGAATTGGATGATAGGGGGAGAGACCCTGAAATAAAATGATGTGTCAAGAGATAAATTAGAAAGACTGGGAGGGGCTAAATTATGAAAGATCTTAAATGTCATATTAATAGTAGTTATCATCTATGAAACATTTACTATGCACTTACTAAACACTTTTAAGCAGTTTACAAGAATTATATCTTAGCTAAGCACTGGTGGCTCATGCCTGTAATACTAGCTACTCAAGAGGCTGAGATTTGAGGATCACACCTCAAAGCCAGCCAGGGCAGAAAGTCCGTGAGACTCTTATCTCCAAGTAACCACTAGAAAACCCTAAGTGGCACTGTCGTTCAAGTGGTAGCTCACGAGCCTTGAGTAAAAGAACTCAGGGACAGCACCAAGGGCCTGAGTTCAAGCTCCACAACTGACAAAAAAAATTATTATATCTTAGTCTTTTCAACAACCTGAAAAAGGTAAATAATATTAGTTTCATGTTACAAAAAAAGTGAGTTTAGAGAAGTAAAACTATTTCACCTAAGTCATACACTTAGAAAACCAAACTCTCAGTCAAACTCAGGTCTGGTTGGCTCTAAAGCTGTGTATAAACCACAATTTTATGCTTTCTGCTTATCTTGTACATGATTGGGAGTCACTAAACACTTTTGAAGACAGAAGTGACAATGGGCTGGATTTTTAGAAAAGTTCCCATTAGCACAGTGAAAAACAGATTGGCACAGAAGGAAACTGAGTGTAGATAAATGTCTATTTTTTCTTTTGTTTTATGTATGTGTGCATGTATGTATGTATGTATTTTTTGTTGATCGTGAGTCCTGAACTCTGGGCCTGGTCACAATCCCTCAGCTCTTCAACTCAAGGCTAGCGCTCTACCACTTGAGCCACAGCGCCCCTTACTGCTTTTTTTGCTTATGTGGTGCTGAGGAATCCAACCAGGGCCTCATGCATGCAAAACAAGCAATCTACCACTGAGTCACCTTCTCAGGCCTGTTTTATCTTATTATTTTATTTTTGACTCTTAAATTCTAGTTAGGGTAATACGAGTCGTGGTGTCAGAACAGATTCATCAACCAGCTAGGTGGGAAAGTCATCTCAGCCTCTTCACAAGAGTGGGCGGGGCCGAAAAAATAAAGTTAAGGGGCGGGACTAGGAGCTTCTCGACGTTCTGCTGCTTTTGCCTGTAGACGCCGGGCTTCCTCTGGGCGTTCCCCCACCTCCCGCCCTGCGCAGGTAATAGTGTCGAGCGCCGAGCCCCAAGAATCGAGCTGGGTGAGGGGCGGCAGAGTGGCGGCGCAGCCTCGGTAGGCGAACATGAGTTTGGCTGGGGGCCGCGCCCCCCGGAAGACGGCTGGGAACCGGCTCTCCGGGCTCCTGGAGGCGGAGGAGGAAGATGAATTCTATCAGACGACTTATGGGGGTTTCACCGAGGCAAGAGCCGGGACCAGGGAGAGGGAAAGGGAAGCGGAGTTCTTCAGGGAACAGCCCCAGACAAAGAAGAAGGGGGGCGGGGAGCGGAGAGGCGCAGGGGCTGACACCAGGGCCGGGGGCGACGCGGGGAAGGCTGCCGTGGGGTCCTAGGAGGGGGAGCCCTGGCCGCGCTGGGTGGGGGGATGTCAGGGGTGGAGAGACCCCCAGAAGGCCCCTCCGTGCGGTAGAGACCCGCTTGGGGCTTCTGTAGTCAGTCTCTCGGTCCTCGGCCGGGTTATTCGCCCCCAGCGTAGGAAGGAACCCCTCCAAGAAGTGGAGGAGCTCCGACAGCTCGCTTCCTTGTATCAGCGCTCAAATCTCAGCGTGAATATTTTCTTTTTTTTTTTTTATTTTGGTCGGTCGTGGGGCTTGAACTCTGGGCCTGGGCGCTGTCCCTCAGCTCTTCAGCTCAAGGCGAGCGCTCTACCGCTTGAGCTACAGCGCCGCTTCCGGTTTTCTAGTGGTTTATTGCAGATAGGAGTCTCACGGTCTTTCCTGCCCCCGGGGCTGGCTTTGAACCGTGATCCTCAGATCTCAGCCTCCTGAGTAGCTAGGATGACAGGCGTGAGCCACCAGCGCCCGGCTTCAGCGTGAATATTTTCTTAGGTAACCGTTAGTTCTTTGTTTATTTTCTTCAAAGAATACGTTTTCGGCTATTAGATTTGGTTTACCTCTCTGCACTTACTTTCCTTTTGGATTGTAAACTCCCTATCAGCGTAGTCTGTACAGCATTATAGGTCCAAAGCCTAGGCCAGTATTTGGATTAGGATGACACTTAACTAAAATTATATTGATTCAATCTATCTTATTTTGTTTTGAGACAGGATCTCTATGTAGTCCAGGCTGACCAGACCTCAAACTCTCCATCCTCTCACATCAGCCTCCCAAATGCTGAGATTACACACAGATACCACCATACCCAGCTCTACCCATTAATTCATTCATTCGTTTGTTTGTTTGTTTTAAACTAGTACTGGAGCTTGAGCGCAAGGCTAGCGCTCAACCACTTGATTGAGTCATAGCTCCACTTCTGGTTTTTTGGTGGTTATGGGCACTGTCCCTGAACTTCTTTTGCTCAAGACTAGTGTTCTACCACTGGAGCTACAACACCACTTTCAGCTTTTTTCTGTTTATGTGGTACTTAGAAATCGAACCCGGGGCTTCATGAATGCTAGCACTCTACCACTAAGCCACATTCCCAGCCCCTCCATTCACTTTTAATATCTCTGATATCTGAGAGCATGCTTTAGGTGCTAAGTTGTTGTAGACAGTATTGAAAACACTGTCTTGGGATTAGGGATACAGCTCAGTGATACAGCACACGTTTAGTATGCCTGAGATGCCCAGTGGGGCAACTGTCGGGGTTCACAGTCAATTAAGTTGTTGTATTATAAGGTCTAAAGCAAGAGGTAAGCACAGTACTATGGGAACGATGAGAACCTAGGCAGATACTATGTAAGCTGAGGACAGTGTGAAAAGTAGGTCTTTGCTGGATGAAGAATAGCAGGAAGTGGGGCTTAGTGGTAGAGTGCTTGCCTCACATGCATGAGGTCCTGGGTTCGATTCCTCAGCACCACATAAACAGAAAAAGCTGGAAGTGGTGCTGTGGCTCTAGTGGTAGAGTGTTACACTTGAGCTGAATTGCTGAGGGACAGCGCCCAGGTCCAGAGTTCAAGCCCAATGACCAAAAAAAAAAGAAAAGGAATAGCAAGAAGTGAAAGGTTAGTTCCTGGAAATGGTGGAAAGAGTGTATAAAGGGTACTGATATCCTGATGTGGCCAATTCTCTAAGGCCTTGTGAGCCTTCTTTTTCCTTTCTTTTCTTCTTCCTTTTCTCTCTTCTCTTCCTGTTTCTCTTTCTTCCTTTCTATTTGTTTTTCTTTTCTTTTCTTTCCTTCTTTCATGTACAGCACTTGAACTCAGTGCCTCATGCCCTCATGTTCTTGCTTGGTTTCTTCTGCTCAAGGCAAGCACTTGAGCCATACCTCCACTTGTGGATTTTACTGGTTAATTGGAGATAAGAAGCTCATGGGCATACCTGAACTGGCTATGAATTGGTCAGTGTTTAGGGGTGTAGATCAGTAATAGAGCACTTGTCTAGCACACCTGAGCATCTGGGTGCTGTCCCCAGCATCATTACCAAAGAGAAAAAAAAAAATTACATAACCAGTAGGATTTAAACAAAATTAAGAAAATAGAACCCATAATCATTACTTAACATCGCCCTAATCAACTAGTTTAAAATAGAACTTTCTCATCCTTCAATGCTCATTTTCCTATTCCTGTCGTTTTATGAGTTGTTATTTAATATGTACCCTTTGTGCTTCCAAAAAGGATTTAAGGAGGCTTACAATATAAACAAAAAGTAAGAACAGTAAAAATAGAGATAGATCAGAACCACTTGCACCAGAAGCCTGTGGGAAAGTGGTAATAACAATTGATATTAAATTTAGCTGTGAGTCTCCTAGCAATCAAACAGTGTGTGTGTGCACGTGCACACGAGTGCGCGCCAGACCTGGGGCTTGAGCTCAGGGCCTGGGCACTGTCCCTGATCTTTATGCTCAAGGATAGTTCTCTACCACTGAGCCACAGTTCTACTTCCAGCTTTTTCTGAGTTGTTTATTAGAGGTAAGAGTCTCAGTGATTTTCCTTCCCAGGCTGACTTCAAACCTAGATCCTCAAATGTCGGCCTTCTGAATAGCTAGAATTACAGGCATGAGTCACTGGTGCCCACCTTCTTTGGCATTAAATCATAGGGAGAATATATCATATCCTTATATAAAATATACCTAAAGTAAGCAAGTGTATGGTAGATGATATGAAAACTTTCTCTCTCTCTCTCTCTCTTTTTTTTTTTTTTGGTCTGGTCGTGGGGCCTGAACTCTGGCCTGGGCACTGTCCCTCAGCTCTTCAGCTCAAGGCTAGCGCTTTACCACTTGAGCTACAGCGCCACTTCCGGCTTTTTTCTTTTTGCTTATGTGGTACTGAGGAATCGAACCCAGGGCCTCAGGCATGTAAGGCAAGCGCTCTACCACTGAGCCACCTTCCCAGCCCATGAAAACATTGTCTTACCTAGTCATATCAATTAAATTCATAATTTTGTGAAAGTATTTCATTTGGACATTAAGCTAATGGAAAGTTGATCTATGATCCTCTGATGTGGCTTAATACCAGATTAGACTTGGAGAGATTAGTGTGTTCTCTGTCTGTCTTGTACAAACATCAGTTGGGACAAAATGATGGTCATCAGTGTGGATTTGAATTCTAGCTGGGTTGGAGTGTCAGCCATCTGTACTTGTTTTGGCAGCCTGTATACTAAGATTAGTCCAGTAGTCTATATCATTATTAAAAGTAGAGCCACATGTTGAAAGTGCTACCCAGCCCAGTTGACTCCTCTTCCCTCAAGTGGTTCCCTTACCCTTTCCAATATGTCTGCCATTCTAGCCTTTACCTTTATTGCTTCAGGTCTGCATGGTACTTCAGATTCTCTACTTCAGCCCAACTAACTTCCTCAGCTTTCTGAAAAATCCCTCATACATATCTCCAATAGCTCCCATTACTGAAATACTTTTTTGTAGCAGCACACTGAAGAGTTCTCTTAGGAATTTTACCTCAACAAAGTATTAATTGCTGGGATAGAAAGGGGAAGGGACGTTTCCTTCCTTCATTTTTTATTTTTTCTGTTTGTGCACATGTGCCAGTACAGGGGCTTAAACTCAGGGCCTGGACACTATCCTTGAGCTGCTTTTGCTTAAGGCTAGCACTCTACCACTTGAGCCACAGCCCTGCTTCCAGCTTTTTTAGTAGTTGACTGGAGATAAGAGTTTTAAGAGCTGGGCTCAGATGGCTCATGCCTGTAATCCTAGCTACTCAGGAGGCTGACATCTGAGGATTGCAATTTGGAGCTAACCCACGCAGCAAAGTCCGTGAGGCTCATATTTCCAATAAATTACTCAGAAAAAGCCAGACGTGGCATTGTGGCTTAAATGATAGAGTGCTAGCCTTGAGCCAAAGCTCAGGGACAGCATCCTGGCCCAGAGTTCAAACTCCAGGACCAGCAAGAAAAAAAAAAAAAAGAATCTCACATACTTTCCTGCCCAGACTTCTGACTCTCAGATGTCAGCCTCCTGAAATCTAGCTAGGATTACAGGTATGAGCCATCAGCACCTGGCCTGCAGGCTTGCCTGCCTGCTTGCTTCCTGCCTTTTTTTGGCCGATCCTGGGACTTGAACTAAGGGCATTGGTGCTATCTCTGAGCTCTTTCATTCAAGGCTAACACTCTAGCATTTTGAGCCACAGCTCTACTTCCAGTTTTCTGGTGGTTAATTGGAGATAAGAGTCTCATAGATTTTCTTGCCTAAGCTGGGTTTGAACTGTGATCCTCACATCTTAGCCTCCTGAGTAGCTAGGATTATAGATGTCAGCTACTGATGGCTGGCTTTTTTTTCTTTCCTTCCTTCCTTCCTCCCTTCCTTCCTTCCTTCCTTCCTTCCTTCCTTCCTTCCTTCCTTCCTTCCCTTCTTTCCTTCCTTCCTCTCTCTTTCTGTGGTAGTAATATTACGTATTGAACTCAAGGACTCATATATATATCTATATATTCCTTCCTTCCTTCCTTCCTCTCTCTTTCTGTGGTAGTAATATTATGTATTGAACTCAAGGACTCATATATATCTATATATCTATATATCTATAGATATAGATATATAGATTTTTTTTTTTTGTTTTTGGCGCCTCTGAACTTTGGGCCTGGGCACTGTCCCTCAGCTCTTCAGCTCAAGGCTAACCCTCTGCCACTTGAGCCACAGCACCACTTCTGGTTTTTTTCATGGAGTTTCCTGCCTGGGCTGGCTTTGAACTTCGATCCTCAGATCTCAGCCTCCTGAGTAGCCAGGATCACAGGCATGAGCCACCAGCGCCCGGCTGAGACCCTTTTTCAAAAATTAAAAAGGAAGAAAATTTTCTAGGCCTACAGGAAAATCACATCTAAGAAAGTACTTCTTGGCAGAGATAAAGTTGCTTTACTTGGCTCTAAATCCTTTTGTCATAAACATAATTCCTGTTTTTCTATCCACCTGTAATTTTCTCTTAGCTGTTTAAATATTCCCAATGTTTTGAACCATGGCTATAGCCCTAATCATCTACTAGAGTCTAAAGCAGGTCTCAAACTACAACCCATGTCCTAGGCCCACTATCTGTTTTAGTCTAGTCCTGCTCAAAGGAAATTTCCCATTGGGCACAACTGGCTTACATCTGTAATCCTAGCTCCTCAGGAGACTGAAATCTAAGGTTCCTAGTTCAAAGCCAGCTTAGGCAGACTAAGAATCTTGGTCGGGACTCTTTATTTCTAATTATCAAAACAACAAAAACAAGTGGAGGGAAGGCTTAAGTGATAGAGTGCTAGCCTTGAGTGAGAAAGCGAAAAGACAGTGCCCTGAGTTCAAGCTCCAGTACTACCCCACCACCTAGAAAAGGAAGTTTCCCAACATCTGATGTAAAGAAGCAAAGTCCAAAGTTTATACCAGCCTCCTTTGATCTCCTGCATATATTGCTTTTTATTCAGACTTCTGTGGCACTTAGGTTTGAACATTTGGGCATTCAAACCTTCAAGGTTGAGGATTTGGGCGTTTGTCCATTTAAGCCATGACTCCAGCCCTCCTGAGTAGCTAGGATTACAGGTGTAAACCACCGGTGCCCAGCTCAGCCTTACTTTTTTTTTGGAGGGGAGGAGGGCTTGGAGGCTTGAACTCTGGACCAGGGAACTGTTCCTGAGCTCTTCAGCTTAAGGTGAGTGCTCTACCACTTGAACCACAGCTCTACTTCTGGTTTTCTGGTGGTTAATTGGAGATAAGAGTCTCATGGATTTTGCTTCATGGGCTGGCTTTGAATGTGATCCTCAGATCTCAGCCTCCTGAGTAGCTAGGATTACAGGTGAGCCACTAGCCCCAAGGCTTCAGCCTTACTTTTTTGCTGGTTATTTTGGAGATAGAGTCTAGTGAACTTTTCTGCCCAGGCTGGCTCTAGAATACTGTCCTATGGATTCTCCCTCCTGAGTAGCTAGGAATAAGGGATGAGCCACTGGTGTCCAACTTAAAACTTCTTTTTATGATGATATCCTGTGAACCCCTTGAAGTGAGACCAAACCATATCCTTTTGTTCCTCAGTAAATAATACAGAGTACTATAGATAAAACACAGTGAAGGCTGGAAGGGAGTGATGCTGAAACAAAAGGCTACCAACCAAAAAATCTTTGCCTGCGAAAAGCAGAGGGCTAAGCTGAAAAGGAAAATGGGGCAGCCCTTCAGGAAAGTTAAGGAATTTTGTTCCTCCTGAAGGGACATTAAGAACTTGATAGCTACTGGGTACCTGGTTCAAGCCCCATGACCAACAACAACAAAAAGAACTCCATGGCCGACCAGTTCTCATCTCCCTGTGTCCTCAGGAATCTGGAGATGATGAGTATCAAGGGGATCAGTCAGACACAGAGGATGAAGTGGACTCTGACTTTGACATCGATGAAGGAGATGAACCATCCAGTGATGGAGAAGCAGAAGAGCCAAGAAGGAAGCGCCGAATAGTCACCAAAGCCTATAAGGTACAGGACAGTTAGTTTTTCTCTAATACCTTCATCTCTGCCTAAACTTAATCTGATTCTAATCTATTCCTAGGAGCCTCTAAAAAGCCTGAGGCCTCGAAAGGTCAGCACCCCAGCTGGTAGCTCCCAGAAGGCCCGAGAAGAGAAGGCTCTGCTGCCACTAGAACTACAGGATGATGGCTCTGACAGTGAGTAGAGAAGTTTGGGTTCACATGAAAATCTTGGAATGTGATAATGAATTACTTTATAAATGTTAAATTTGCTAAAGTTGATAACTACACTGTGTCATGAAAGGAAAACCCTTAAGAAGTATGCACTGAAGTGTAATTTAACTGGCACCATTCAGAAAAAACCATACATAGCATTTTGTTCAATGCTCTTTATGTTTTACTTTTGTTTACTACTTATTATTTGTTTATTATTTACTTATTGATTACTTATAATTTTTTTTTGGGGGGGGGTCCGGTCATGGGGCCTGAACTCTGGGCCTGGGCGCTGTCCCTCAGCTCTTCAGCTCAAGGCTAGCGCTCTACTACTTGACCCACAGCACCACTTCTGGCTTTTTTCTTTTTGCTTATGTGGTGCTGAGGAATCGAACCCAGGGCCTCATGCATGCAAGGCAAGCGCTCTACAACTAAGCTACCTTCCCAGCCCCTCTTGCAGTGATTTTTATAAATTTGAAATTATAAATAATTTAACCAGGTACTAGTGACTCATACTTGTAATTCTAGCTACTCAGGAGGCTGAGATCTGAGGACTGCAGTTCAAAACAAGCCTGGACAGAAAAGTTCATGAGACCCTATTTCCAACTAAGTAGCAAAAAATGCTGAATTAGAGATGTGGCTCAACTAGTAGAGCACCAGCCATAAGGGAAAAATTCTAAGTGAGAGCAGTCAATAACAGCAAGAGGGCCTGAGTTCAAGTTCCAGTAGCAGCCCGTGCGTGCACATGTGCGCACACAGACACACACACACACATACACACACACACACACAATTTTAATAGATACATGCCTTTAATCCCAGGAAACTGAGTTTGGGGAATCCTAAGAACCTGTTGTTTTTTTTAAAAAAAAAACAACCTGGGGCCTGGGAAGGTGGCTCAGTGGTAGAGTGCTTGCCTTGCATGCCTGAGGCCCTGGGTTCGATTCCTCAGCACCACATAAGCAGAAAAAAATTGGAAGTGGTGCTGTGGCTCAAAATGCTAGAGCGCTAGCCTTGAGCTGAAGAGCTGAGGGACAGCGCCCAGGCCCAGAGTTCAGGCCCCACGACTGACCAAAAAACCCCCCAAAACCCACGAGTAAACAAAGAATAGATGAGTGGGTGTGAATTCAGTTTTCTTCACTGCTGGATGCCAGTGGCTCACGCCTGTAATCCTAGCTCCTCAGGAGGCTGAGAATTTAGGATCATGGTTTGAGGCCAGACTGGGCAGAAAAGTCCCTGTGAGATTCTTTTTTTTTTGAGTCCAGTCGTGGGGCCTGAACTCTGGACCTGGGCGCTATCCCTCAGCTCTTCAGCTCAAGGCTAGCGCTCTACCACTTGAACCACAGCACCACTTCCGGCTTTTTTCTTTTTTCTTTTTTTTTTTGCTCATGTGGTGCTGAGGAATCGAACCCAGGGCCTCAGGCATGCAAGGCAAGCGCTCTACCACTGAGCCACTTCCCAGCCCCCCTGTGAGATTCTTAAATCCAATAAACTACTCAAAAAAGCGGAAACCTTGGAAGTGGTGCTGTGGCTCAAGGGGTAGAGCACTCACCTTGAGCTGAAGAGCTGAGGGACAGTGCCCAAGCACAGAGTTCAAGCCCCACGACCAACAACAACAAAAAAGTATCAAAAAAGCTGAAACCAAGCGCTGGTGGCTCACGCCTATAATCCTAGCTACTTAGGAGGCTGAGATATAAGAATCAGGGTTCAAAGCCAGCCCTGGCAGGAAAGTCTGTGATACCAGAAAACAGGAAGAGGTGCTGTGGCTCAAGGGGTAGAGCACTAACCTTGAGCTGAAGAGCTGAGGGACAGCACCCAGGCCCAGAGTTCAAGCACTAGCCTTGAGCTGAAGAGCTGAGGGACAGCACCCAGGCCCAGAGTTCAAGCCCCATGACTGACCAAAAGAAAAAAAAAGCTGAAAGTGGCATTGTGGCTCAAGTGGTAGAGCGCTTGCCTTAGCACAAAGAGGCTCAAGGACAGTGCCTGGCCCTGAGCTCAAGCTCCAGGACCAATAACAACCAAACATAAATAAATAAATACAACTTCTTCCTATTTGGTTTTGTTTCAGGTCGGAAATCCATGCGTCAGTCCACAGCTGAGCATACACGACAAACGTTCCTTCGGGTACAGGAGAGGCAAGGCCAGTCCCGACGACGAAAGGGGCCTCATTTTGAGCGACCACTGACCCAGGAAGAGCTACTCAGGGAGGCTAAGATCACAGAAGAGCTCAACTTACGTTCACTGGGTCAGTCTGCGGCTTAGGGAAAAATGGGTAGAGATAATGAAGAGCATGAGGAAAACTGTGAAACCTGGAGGATTGGAGAAATGGAGATGGGGACAAAATAATCAAAAGAAGGAAATGAAGACAGTAGGTGATAAGCAAGGGTCCATTGTGTGAGAGCTCTGAAGAATAGTTATATTGAGGGTTTTGGTATAAAATAACCTAATAAAGCTGGGCGCCAATAGCTCATTCCTGTAATCATAGCTACTCATGAGGCTGAGATCTCAGGATCAGGGATCAGAGCCAGCCCCAGCAGAGACTCTTATCTCCAGTGAGCCACCAAAAAACCAGAAGTGGTACTGTGGCTCAAAGTGGTAGAGTACTAGCGTTGAGCAAAAAAGAGCTCACGGACTGCCCAGGCCCTGAGTTCAAGCACCATGACTGACAAAAAAAACAAAAAAAACAATAGAGAACTGAATTAAAACTCTAGTGCTTTTTACTTAAAGCCAAATGGCTGAAACTCTGCCTCTTGCTTTTTATCACGATAATCAGAAGAGTGAGGCCAGGGGCCAAGGGCTCATACCTGTAAACCTTAGAAGTCTGAGGTCTAAGGTCAGTTTGAAGCTAGTCCAAGTAGAAAAGTCTTATCTCCAGTTGGCCACCAAAATGGCAAAATGGAGACATAGCTTAAGTGGTAAAATGCCAGCAGAAAAAAGCCAAGCAACAGTACAAGGCCTTGAGCTCAAGTCCCAGTGCCTACATTAAAAAAAAAGAAAAAGAGAAAGTAAGAAGACATGGAAGTACACACCTGTAATATCACAAGACTGAGGCAGCATAATTACAAGTTCAGGGTCAGTCTGAGCCACAGAGTGAGATCTTGCCTCAAAAAAAAAATACATAAAGACCAGGCGCTGGTGGTTCATGCCTGTAATCCTAGCTACCTAGGAGGCTGAGATCTGAGAATAATGGTTGGAACCAGCCCAGGCAGGAACGTCCCTAAGACTTACTTCCAATTAACCACCAAAAAGCTGGAAGTAGAGCTGTGGCTCAAGTGGTAGAGTGCTAGTCTTGGCGCACAAAAGCTCAGGGCAGCACCCAAGGCTCTGACTTCAAGCCCCACTCCCAGAATAAAAACAGCCTTCAATATATGTGCTATTGGGTATATAATCCTGCAATTTATTATATAAAAGCATGTCACAGCTATGACCTTTGTGGAATGTGAGAGAATGAGCAGCCTCCAGAGGGCCACAGGGAAAGCTGTAGCCTTGGATGACCAGGTTCCTAGTAAGGCAAGCTGCATACAGAATGCTGTGTAAGGAGCTTGAAGATACAGATAGGTGAGGTGACTAATTATAGAGCAAGGAGTTCCACAGGGTACAGGCAAGAAGAAGGTTAGAAGGTTGGCTCAAAGGAAGGATAGTAGTAGTATTAGTCAGAATCCAAGTTCCAAAGAGTTTCAGTCACTAACAGGGTTTCCAGAGGACAACAGTTAGACTTTAGAGGATTATGTTTGTATTATCTATGTACAAGGAAGACATAGTAGCCAGCACCAGTGGCTCATGCCTGTAATCCTAGATCAGGAGGATGAGATCCAGGAAAGTCTTCAAGGTTCCATCTCAAAATAAGCAACAAAAGGTCAAGCTGGAGGCATGGCTCAAGTGGTAGAGCACTAGGCATGAGTAAGCAATCCAAAAAGAGTGTAAGTCACTGAGTTCAACACAGGGACTGGCAGAAAAAAAAAGCCAGACACAAAAATTTAGACTTCATTTTGAGGAAAGGGGCCAGGAATAATTTGATTTATTAACAAATACTTATTGAGTGCCCAGAATGTATATGATGCTGCACGATCCTAATGATGAGTCACAGTCTCTGCCTTGAGGAGATAGACAGATAGATAGATAGATAGATAGATAGATAGATAGATAGATAGATAGATAGATAGATATGCAATATAGTGTGACATGGTCCAGGCAGGTAATGTATAGAGTAGCCACAGGGATTAAAGTGACTTGAAAAGGAATGTTTTGCAGGGCACTGATGGCTCATGCCTGTAATCCTAGCTACTCAGGAGGCTGAGATCTGAGGATCATGGTTTGAAGCCAGCCCAGGCAGAAAAGTCCCCACGAGACTCCTTTTTTTTTTTTTTTTGTCGGTCGTGGGGCTTGAACTCTGGGCCTGGGCGCTGTCCCTCAGCTCTTCAGCTCAAGGCGAGCGCTCTACCACTTGAGCTACAGTGCCACTTCCGGTTTTCTGGTGGTTTATTGGAGATAAGAGTCTCTCACGGTCTCTCCTGCCCGGGCTGGCTTTGAACCGCGATCCTCAGATCTCAGCCTCCTGAGTAGCTAGGATTACAGGCGTGAGCCACCAGCGCCCGGCTCCCACGAGACTCTTATCTCCGTTAACCACTCAAAAACTGGAAGTGGAGCTGTGGCTCAAAGTGGTAGAGCCCTAGCCTTGAACAAAGTTGCTCAGGGACTGTGCTCAGGCCCTGAGTTCAAGCCCTATGATGGACAAAAAAAAAAAAAACAACACTATACACATCAAACACTTGAGTGGTCTGGCTTGCCATAAACTGTGGTAAACCCAGTTTTAACAGAAGGGTAGTAGAAAAGACAAAGGGGTAGCATAATTGAGTGGGTGACAAAACCATGTGGTATGAGGAATGGTTCTGTGGAATGGGTGCTGAGCCTGGAGAGGTCTTTTTTTTTTTTGTCGGTTGTGGGGCTTGAACTCTGGGCCTGGGTGCTGTCCCTCAGCTCTTCAGCTCAAGGCAAGCGCTCTACCACTTGAGCTACGGCGCCACTTCCGGTTTTCTGGTGGTTTATTGGAGATAGGAGTCTCACGGTCTTTCCTGCCCGGGCTGGCTTTGAACCGCGATCCTCAGATCTCAGCCTCCTGAGTAGCTAGGATTACAGGCGTGAGCCACCAGCGCCCGGCTGCCTGGAGAGGTCTTGATGGAAACGTGGTACCCATTTCAACTACTTGAAGGACAGTAATAAGCCAGATTAGACTGGTGCCCTTTATGGCTTTAAAAGATAAAACTGCTCACTGGGAATTGCATTTCAGCTGAAAATAGGAAAGGACTCTTAATGATGTAATGGACTGTTTTGGCTAGAAGCAGGTTGACCCAGGGCAGTTGTAGAGCAGATTTTGTTTTCTGGGAAAATGAACAGACTCCTTATCACAGTTCTTATTCCAATTCTGCGTGAGTAAGGCCCCAAGTGTAGTTGAGAAAAGAGAATGGAGATGATGTCAGGAGGAGTAAGCAGAGCGCTCAGGAAGCAGGGAGTACTAGAGTACATTAGAACTTCCACCATTGCCTTGTAGTAGATGGGAAGCCAGGAAGAAAATTTGGACCAGAGTGTGGGAAAAGAGAAACTAATTATCTTCTTATTGTCCCTGAAGAGACATATGAGAGGCTTGAGGCTGACAAGAAGAAACAGGTTCATAAGAAACGGAAGTGTCCCGGGCCCATAATCACCTATCATTCCGTGACAGTGCCACTGGTTGGGGAGCCAGGCCCCAAAGAAGAGAATGTGGATGTAGAGGGGTGAGTCAGTCATCAACCGTGTCGTCCTGATTAAATTTCACTGGCTTTCCTCACAGTTCTCTCATACTTCTCAGATTCTGTCCTCTTTTCAGTACCTTATTTTTCTCTTTACCTCTCTCCTATTTTCGTGTGTGTGTGTGTGTGTGTGTGTGTGTTTGCATGCATACATACACATGTACTTCACCAATGCTCATGCTTGAACTCCAGAACTTGAGCTGTCCATTAACTGTTTTGTTCATGACTATTGCTCTCTACTGGTTGAGCCACATCTCCTATTCTGGCTTTTTACTGAATTACTGGATAATTGGACATAAGATCTTGTCTCTAGGATTTGTCTGTCTGGGCTGGCTTTGAACCCTGTTCTTCAGATCTCAGCCTTCTGAGTAGTCAAAATGATGAACATGAGCAACTGGCATCCAGCTACTGGTTTTACTTTTTTTTTTTTTTTTTGGTTATGGGACTTGAATTCAGGGCTTACTTGCTGCCTCTTTGTGCTCAAAGCTAGTACTGTACCCCTTGAGCCACAGCACTACTTCCTACTTTATTTTATTTTATTTTTTTGTCTTGCCCATCGTGGGGCTTGCACTCTGGGCCTGGGCGCTGTCCCTCAGCTCTTCAATTCAAGGCTAGTGCTCTACCACTTGAGCCATAGCACCCACTTCTAGCTTTTTCTGTTTTTGTGGTGCTGAGGAATCGAACCCAAGGCCTCATGCATGCAAGGCAAGTGCTGTACCACTGAGCCACCTTCCCAGCCCTCCTACTTTCTTTCTTTCTTTTTTATTTTCTTATTTTTTTGGTCGGTCATGGGTCTTGAACTCTGGGCTTGGGCGCTGTCCCTCAGCTCTTCAGCTTAAGGCAAGCGCTCTACTGTATGCACCACACCACCACTTCCAGTTTTTTAGTGGTTATTGGAGATAAGAGTCTCATGGAGGGCTGGGAAGTATGGCTCAGTGGTAGAGCACTTGCCTTGCATGCATGAGGCCCTGGGTTCGATTCCTCAGCACCACATAAGCAAAAAGAAAAAAGCCGGAAGTGGCGCTGTGGCTCAAGTGGTAGAGCGCTAGCCTTGAGCTGAAGAGCTGAGGGACAGCGTCCAGGCCCAGAGTTCAGGCCCCACAACTGGACCAAAAAAAAAAAAAAAAGAGTCTCATGGATTTTCCTGCCCGGGATGGCTTTGAACCGTGATCCTCAGGTCTCAGCCTCCTGAGTAGCTAGCATTACAGGCGTGAGCCACCAGTGCCTGGCTTCCTACTTTATTTATTAACCTCATTTCTTCCCCTCATTTGTACCATTTAGTAGGTTATCTAAGGATATCCTCACTAGACTACATCCTTTCTCTTTCTTCAGCTCTGATTTCTTTCTCTATCCATTGCCTTCTCCTCAGCTCTTTGTGTTTGTCTTTTGCCCTCAGACTTGATCCAGCTCCTTCAGCTTCTGCATTGACTCCTCATGCTGGGAGTGGACCTGTCATCCCTCCTGCTCGCTGCTCACGTACCTTCATCACATTCAGTGATGATGCAACATTTGAAGAATGGTTCCCCCAAGGGCGACCCCCAAAGGTCCCAGTTCGGGAGGTTTGCCCAGTGACCCACCGTCCAGCCCTATACCGGGACCCTGTAACAGATATACCCTATGCCACTGCTCGAGCCTTCAAGATCATCCGTGAAGCTTACAAGAAGTATATCACTGCCCATGGACTACCTCCCACTGCCTCGGCCCTGGGCCCTGGCCCCCCTCCTCCTGAGCCCCTCCCTGGCTCTGGGCCCCGAGCCTTACGTCAGAAAATCGTCATCAAATGAACAGATGTCTAGTCCCTAGAAACCTCTTCCGGCCCTAACCTGGGGCTCTTGACTTTTCTCCTTCCCTTCCCTTTCTTTGTTTTTTCCCTTTGTCATCTCTGATAACTTGCTCAGTCCTCTTCTGTATTTCTTTTCCCACCTTTCCTCTAGTTCTTTCTGGTTTTGTTGTTTTTTTAATCTAATAAAACAGAAAGATTTATTTTTGTCTGATGTCTAATCTAGAGTTGGGAACAAGAAGTATATAAGTGTGTGGTATGTGCAATGTGTGCTGGGGATTGAACCTGGCAGCACGTGCTTGCTAAGCAAGTAGCTCTACTTCTAAATTGTCACCAGTTTCTGTGTTTATATTTCTTGGATAATATTTATTACGAATTATCCTTTTTTATCTTTTTCTTTTCTGACATTAGGTCTTGCTGGATTGCCTAGGGTTAGTCTCCAACTCCTGGGCTCAAGCAGTCTTCTCGCCTCAGTGTCCCAACGCTGGGGTTAAGGATGCATGTGCCAGGCTTGTCCTTTTTAAATTATATTCATTCATTCCTCCAATTATGCTATAAAATAACCTTAAAACTAGCTTTTTTTTCTATTTATGAAATCCTTATACTTAACATTTTTGTCACCTTATTATTCACTACTTTGAATATGGCAAGTACCAAATAGTAGGAATTTTTTTTTTTTTTTGTCAGTCATGGGGCTTGAACTCTGGGTCTGGGTGCTGTCCCTCAGCTCTTTGGCTCAAGGCTAACGCTCTACCACTTGAACCACAGCACCACTATCAGTTTTCTGAGTGGTTTATTGGAGATAAGAGTCTCACGGACTTTTCCTGCCCATGCTGGCTTTGAACCGTGATCCCCAGATCTCAGCCTCCTGAGTAGCTAGGATTACAGGCATGAGCCACCAGTGTCCTGCTTAGTAGGAACTTCTGATATACCTCAAAATTCCACTCTAGGACACGGTCTTGTCTGAAAAGGAGGTGCCGTAGCTGATGATGGCCACTAGAGGCTCTCAGGGCTGGGCAGGGTATGGGGGCTGTGTATATGTGATCTCCCACTACCCCCCACCTGGCCAGAGCTAAAATAATAAAATGCTGAGCTCACTGTTCCCCCACCCTCTCCCCCGGCACCGGCTCCTCCTGCTGTCAGGACAGTGCCCCAGAGAACAGAACAACGGATAGACGGGAAGGTGAGGTGAGAAGTGGCCATCAGAACTGGTAGGTGGGGAAGGAGGGGGTTTATGGTGGGAGATGGAAGAAGAGGGGCTCCTCCTGGAGTGACAGAGTGTGTCTGCCCCTGTCACTCAGAGAATGTTGCTGCTACTGTCCTGTCTCTTAACTCTATAGTTTATGTTGTCCTTGTGTCTCATACACTTTGGATCCTTCAAATTATGCATGTGGTGCTAGTGTATATTTTTCATGTTGTGAAAGATTGTATAAGTTTAATCTTCGTGCTGTTTTTAGTAAAATGACTCCATTCAGAAGGTTATTTCCTATCTATTGGTCTGGTGTCACCTTTCTGGTGACAGATTATGGGGACTCGGTCCCTTCTGAGGCTGGACGACCCTTCCCCCAACCTGAAAGTCCCTCAGCTCCTGAGCCCTAGCTTTCCTCTAGGATTTAGAATTTTAACAAAGTGAAATCTTGATCCTCCACAATAAAAGTAGAAATGCATAAGAGACTTCTACTCACCCAGCCAATGTTTCTTCCTTCCTTCAACACTTCAGGAAAAAAAGGTTGAATAATGGGAGAAGAGAGGAAGAATTTCCCTGTAGCTTTCTGTCACCCCCTTCCCATATTCAGTAGGAACTGGGCATGAAGCCAACTCTGCTGGCAGAGCTTCCAGCAGCTGTGCTAGGCCGAGAGGCACTGATGGGTGAGGTTGTAGGGAAAGGGATGTTCTGCCAGGATTTCTTTGCCATACAGCTTAGATCCTGGAATCTCTGGCCAGAATAGCCAGAGGTTAAAAAAGCAAGAAGGAGACCAATTCTAACTTAAAACATCATAACTTTCCCATTTCTCCATCTCCAACTAGATTGCTAACCTCAAAGGTATCTAACTCTGTGATCCTCCCCTGGCTGGTTACTTTGGGTCCCTACTGTGTCCATGTCCATCCTTCCATGTTCAAATACATTTCCCATGTTCCCCCCAGGCTCTGAGTGCCACACAGTGGGGAGTGGGTGGGGGCCATCATGTCCTCATATCAGAAGGAATTGGAGAAATACAGAGATATAGATGAAGATGAGATCCTAAGGACGTTGAGCCCCGAAGAACTAGAGAAGCTGGACTGCGAGCTACAGGAGATGGACCCTGAGGTAGGGATGCTGGCCCAGGGGACCAGGCATTCGGGAAGGTGGCTGAGACCAGTGATAACTACAGGGGTGAATATCTGGAGATGTTTTAGGGAGCTCTAGAGTTCCTACCCAGAGAGAGTACCTGACTTGCTCCCCAAAACTCATCCCTAAGAACATGCTCCTGCCAGCTGGACTAAGACAACGTGACCAGACAAAGAAGAGCCCAACAGGGCCGCTGGACCGAGAGGCCCTTTTGCAGTACCTGGAGCAACAGGCACTAGAGGTCAAAGAGCGTGATGACTTGGTGCCCTTCACAGGCGAGAAGAAGGGTATGGGGACTTGATGTCCATGCCGCTCAGAAATCAAATGACTTTCTCATGTTTCCCCTCCAGCTTCCCTCTTACCTTCTAGCTCCTACCTGCCTAGGGACTGAGGTGCCCTGACACCTGTATGCCAGCTTGTACTCTTTGTTTGTTTTGAGGGTAGGTGGGTGTATATGTGTGTTTTATTTTATTTTGTTTTGAGATAAGGTCTCATTACATAGCCCAGGTTGTCCTGGGCTTGATTCTTGATTCTCCTACCTCAGCTCCTACCTCCCAAGTGCTGGGATTATAGGCATGCACCAATGCATCTCAGGTCTTCAGTTTTTTTCAAAGACCCTGGGACCCAAGAGTCCTAAGTTTGTGGAGGATTCAGGCTTTCCTATGTCCCCCTAGTAATCCAATGTTATGCCTCCTAGAGAAAGAAAGGAAGCTGGAGGCAAGGATATTGGGAGAAATGATCCCTACCTGAAGCATCCTTCATCTCCCCATCAGGGAAACCCTACATTCAACCCAAGAGAGAAATCCCAGCACAGGAACAGATCACCCTGGAGCCTGAGCTGGAAGAGGCACTGGCCCATGCCACAGATGCTGAAATGTGTGACATTGCAGGTGGGCAGCTGTGGAAAAATGAGGATGAGAGGGAGAGCCTCCCCTTAAAGGAGAATTAATGGGGAAGGCCTGGAGATCTGAGAGAGCCTCAGACAGGAGCCCAAACTCCAAGCTGGAACTATACCACTTGAGCCTACTTCTACTTCTGCTTTTCTGTTTGTTAACAGGAAATAAGAGTCTCATAGTCAGGCACCAGTGGCTCACACCTGTAATCCTAGCTACTCAGGTGGTTGAGATCTGAGGGTCACAGTTCAAAGCTAGCCCGGGCAGGAAAGTCTGTGAGACTCTTATCTCCAATAAACCACCAGAAAACCGGAAATGGTGCTATGGCTCAAGTGGTAGAACACTTGCCTTGAGCTGAAGACCTGAGGGACAGAGCCCAGGCCCAGAGTTCAAGCCCCAGGACCTACAAAAATAAATTTAAAAAAAATTTTTTTAAAGGGCAGGGAAGGTGGCGTAGTGGTAGAGCGCTTGTCTTGCATGCATGAGGCCCTGGGTTTGATTCCTCAGCACCACATAAGCAAAAAGAAAAAAGCCGGAAGTGGCGCTGTGGCTCAAGTGGTAGAGCTAGCCTTGAGTTGAAGAGCTGAGGACAGCACCCAGGCCCAGAGTTCAAGCTCCATGACCGGACCCCCTCCCCCCAAAAAAAAGTCTCATGGGTTTGTCTGCTGGGACTGGTTTCAAAGCACAATCCTCAGATCAAAAGCTTCCTGAATAGCTAGGCATAAGCCACTGGTACCTGGCACTTTTTACCTTTTGAAATGTTTGCTTATGTATCCATTCATCTTAAATGTAATAAGTTACTATCTCAAGAGCAATTTTACAGGGATTGTGAAGGCAAATTCAAGTGAAGGTATTCTGGTTAAAATCAGGGAATTTATGCAGACTACCTTCATCCTTTAGTAACTCTTAAGAAACTTCCCATTTCAATATTTTAGAAACCACGGTCTTAGTCAGTTTTGTTTTGTTTTTTTTTGGGTCCAGTCGTGGGGCCTGAACTCTGGGCCTGGGCGCTGTCCCTCAGCTCTTCAGCTCAAGGTTAGCACGCTACCACTTGAGCCATAGCACCACTTCCGGCTTTTTTTTTTTCTGCTTATGTGGTGCTGAGGAATTGAACCCAGGGCCTCATGCATGCAAGGCAAGTGCTCTACCACTGAGCCACCTTCTCAGCCCCTCTTAGGCAGTTTTTGGAACAGACCCCTAGGACTGAGGGAGGATAAGAAACCTCTCTGGAAAAGAGGAAGCTAGCCAGGTTGTAAAAAAAAAAAATGCTACATCAGAGGCAGGGTTGGACCAAGCCCCATACCCTCATTTTCCATGCCTCTCTGTTTACCCTTTCCAGCAATTCTGGGCATGTACACACTGATGAGCAACAAGCAATACTATGATGCCATCTGCAGTGGAGAAATTTGCAACACTGAAGGCATTAGCAGTGAGTGTGGTGGGGAAGGCCGCACCCCAGGGCTCTGGGCGGGCAGTCCCAGGGTTAGAGAAAAGGTAGCAAGGGATAGAAAAGAGAAATCTGGGTGAGGACATGGTGCACGGGTGATAAGAGGAAGAACTGGGGAGGTTGTGGGGGACATGTTGGGGTTCCTTTCCTGCTTCACCCATTAGGTGTGGTACAGCCTGATAAATATAAGCCAGTGCCAGATGAACCCCCAAATCCTACGAACATTGAGGAAATGCTAAAGAGGGTTCGAAGCAATGACAAGGATCTGGAGGAGGTGAACCTCAATAATATACAGGTATTTGACGCCAATCTTCCAAATAATAACACTGGGACTGCTGTTGACATAGAAGACTCTTTAGTCATCATTTCCTACACTCCTCTGATAGGACATCCCAATCCCCATGCTGAGTGAGTTGTGTGAGGCGATGAAGACCAATACCTACGTCCGGAGCTTCAGTCTGGTGGCCACGAGGAGTGGTGACCCCATTGCCAATGTAAGGCTAGTGGATGTGTACTCCCTGCAGGGCTGCTGCT